TATGGACGAAAGGGATTGTAAAATAGAAGACATCCTCATCGTAAGTTGGAAGGCCCCTACTAGAGATCAGAAATTTGAGACGGTTAAAAATTGTTTGAAAAATGAAATCTAATGGGTAGTTATTGTCCAGGAGAATTTTTATGATAAAGTCCAAATTTTTTTGGTGAAATTGTGGATGTGAAAGTAAGAAAGCTCTATCAACAAGGCCAATAATGGTACCTCTTTTTTGGCATGTCGGATGTTGAGAAAGAAAATTAAGATACCGACCCGAAAAAGTAAGTTTATGGAACCAGTTAATAAGCGGTTGTTAATTAGAAGTATTGAGATATCTAAAAAGTTCAATTTATCATTGTCAGCAATTTCTAAGGTGAATTGGATTCTAGGATGTAAGGAATTAAAAACATTAAGCGTGTGATCCATAAGATAATATGGTGCAGTCATTGCGATATCATCAACGTATCTAAAGTAAAAGGATGGAATGAAAGTCAATGTTGAAAGAGCTTTCTCTTCCAAATCTTGAAGGACTATGTCAGCTATGATGGGAGATAATGGGGAACCCATAGGAGTGCCATAAGTTTGTTTATAAATTGTTCCATTAAATGTAAAGAAAGTAGAGTTCAAAACAAATTTTATCGCTAAGATAAACTCCGCTGGAGGAATGGAACAATTGTTGGAAATGAGATCTATTCTTTTCTCGACACTCTCAATGGCAAGGTCAATAGGGATGTTGGTGAATAACGAGATCACATCCAACGATAGCAATTTGAAATCATCAGTTACTGTGACATTCGACAGATTTTTAGTTAATTGAAAGCTATTGACAATGTTGCTATGTGCTTTAGGAAAACTTTTCAACATGATTTTATGAAGGAAGAAGGCAAGATGGTATAAAGGGCTATTCAACGAAGAAACTATGATTCGATACGGACAGTCACGTTTATGTATTTTTGGCAGTCCGTATGCTCTAGGGAGATTGCCGTCACTACAATAAAGAGTTTTGTATGTAGCGGATGAAATATGATTGGAATTCTTCCATCTAGTTAGTAGTTCGCGTAAAGATGTTATCAGTTTCTTAGTAGGATCTTTAGAAAGAACAACGTAATTCTCAGAATCACTCAATGTATTGTTCATGTTAACAAGATAGGCATTTTTATCTAGAGCCACAGTCACATTCTCTGGAGTCGTATATGCTGTAAATTTTAGCATGCCTTTCACTGATTCTTCCAAGCTAACAATGAAATTTATTAAGAATATTGAAAACAACCTCAGACATCTTCCGGCCTATGCTCAGCTATCCATCAGAAACCGAGCCTCCTCTCTTATTAATAATCTTCCTTCGTATTCTCCTTCTCAGGTCGGAGTAAATCTGACTTTAAATCAACTTTATCGTAAGACCAAAAAATTTTTTAATTGATAATTCCAATCTTATTCTCACCAGGGCTGATAAGGGAAATGTGACTGTGGCTCTAGATAAAAATGCCTATCTTGTTAACATGAACGATACATTGAGTGATTCTGAGACTTACGTTGTTCTTTCTAAAGATCCTACTAAGAAACTGATAACATCTTTACGCGAACTATTAACTAGATGGAAGAATTCTAATCATATTTCATCCGCAACATACAAAACTCTTTATTACAGTGACGGCAATCTCCCTCTTTCAACATTGACTTTCATTCCATCCTTTTACTTCAGATACGTTGATGATATCGCAATGACTGCACCATATTATCTTATGGATCACACGCTTAATGTTTTTAATTCCTTACATCCTAGAATCCAATTCACCTTAGAAATTGCCGACAATGGTAAATTGAACTTTTTAGATATCTCAATACTTCTAATTAACAACCGCTTATTAACTGACTGGTTTCATAAACCTACTTTTTCGGGTCGGTATCTTAATTTTCTTTCTCAACATCCGACATGCCAAAAAAGAGGTACCATTATTGGCCTTGTTGATAGAGCTTTCTTACTTTCACATCCACAATTTCACCAAAAAAATTTGGACTTTATCATAAAAATTCTCCTGGACAATAACTACCCATTAGATTTAATTTTTCAATCAATTTTTAACCGTCTCAAATTTCCGATCTCTAGTAGCGGCCTTCCAACTTACGATGAGGAGGTCAATAATAAAATTGTCTCATATTTTACAATCCCTTTTGTCCATACCATCTCGCACAAATTTAAAATCATCATAAAAGATCTTGACGTCAAGCTTTCTTACTGTAGTCTTAATAAATTATCATGCTTTATTAAGGTACATAAAGACATCCTTCCCAGTGCAGCTTGCACTAATGTCATCTACATGATCAATTGTGCAGATTGTGATGCATCTTATGTAGGTCAGACAGGCAGGAGACTACAGACGAGAATCGGGGAACACCGCAACCACATACGTAGAAATACAACAGTTGCTTCGGTGATTACCGATCATAGATTAGAGTTTGACCATGATTTTGACTGGAACTATGTCCGGATTTTAGACAGCGAAAAATATCTAAACAAACAACTGATATCTGAGATGTTGTTCATAAGGAGACAAATTAATGGTCTGAATCTGCAAACGGATACCGAGGCGGCTCATATTGCTTTTTATTTGCTTACATTTATTATTATTATTTGAGCCTATGTCTTATTATTTTTTAAATTTATCGTATTTTTAAACGCAAATATCCATGCCGGAATCAAATAAAATTTTTGAAAAAGAGGACAATTATCCTTTTCTTGTATTTTTAATTCTTAAACATTAGCGACCAAATAATCACGAATACAAGACGCAATTTATCAAGCGCGTTTGCCGGTGGATAAAATGTAAATAATAAAAAAAATTAAGTAATATAATTTAGATTGTCTATTTGGAACAATACGTTTTGATTAATATTTCACGGAATAGCAACCAATCGATTGTTAACTTTACAGATGCTGTCGGTGAGCCAAGGAATGGGGGTCGGCAGCAGCGGACGCGGCGCATCGGCGGGAGATGACCCAACCGCTGGTGCGGCGAGCGGTAGAGGCGGTGGCGGGGGCGGCGGCGATGCCAGGAGACGTCGCGACGTACAGGAGGTGATGATCGCCGCGGCGAGAGATCGCGCGATCCGCGCGGACAGCGTCCGGCAGGATCTCGCTCTCAATCTACCGCCGCGACTCGAGCTCCCGGACGGCGAGGAACACCCATACGGGGCGCACTCGGATCTTCATCTCCGTAACCCGGAACAGGTAAGAGCAAAGAGCGCAGCTTCCGTGCGGAGCTTTGGTAAGACAAAAGATTACGCAAAAAGTCTGGCATTCTCTGTTCTTTGTACTAATGAATTTTATCGTTTTTAGGAGAGCGAGATCTACCAAAAGTGCGTGCGAGCACCTCCGAATCGCACAGTGTTTGATAGCGAGAGTCCGCCGCCTTATCGGACCCCACCGCTTAGTAGCAGCCAACACATCCATACGGGGCTGCTCGATCTGCCCGGCGACCGGATATCGCGAAGTCAGAGCCCTAGCAGCAGCAATTTATTACTGAATACTGCTCGCTCAATGTTCAAGATGTTCCCGAGCCATACGACGCCGTCATCGACGTCGATGCCGGTCAGCAAACCGCCCTTTTCCAGTTATTCCGAGTCCAATAGTAACGTGAGCAGTAATCTGAGCAGTAGCAATCTGTCCAACATCACCGTGGTGCCCTGCGAGACCGATGAGAGCCGGCAAGAACAGCAGCAGCAGCAGCAACAACATCAGCAGCAGCAAGTCCATCAAAAGGTCTGATCCGCGGTGTCCTCCTTCTTCGATGCCATTGTCGTCATTGTCGCAGTCGCATCGTCCGATTCCGAGAACGAGAAATGGTTTTCAAGATCGTTTTGTGCGACTGCAACGACAACGACGATGCCCTTCAAGACTGATTATCGGAAGAAACGTCAACAAAGAATAGATCCCATCGGTCGTTCCATCAAATTCAGCAACGAATATCGCATATACGTGAAAGAAGATATCATCCCGGCCGGTGGTATCCACGTTGAATCGTTCTTCCGGCGTTCTTCTATAAAGAAATAGAGAGAGAAAGAGAGAGAGAGAGAGAGAGAGAGAGAGTGAGAGAGAGAGAGAGAGAGAGGGTCGTCCGTTCGTGGCCTAAAGGAGGGCCGGCGGAGGTATAGAATAGCCGGCTCCTGATATAGCGACTGAAGAGTCAAATCAGTCATATCAAGACTGCGCTCAATCGCCGTGCGTTGATTCACGCCTCTGTTCTCTTTGTCTTTTCCATTGTGAGAGTCGATGCGCCGCCACCGTCATCGTCGCCGACGCGTCTCATTGTGCAATTCCACATGCGGCCAGTGTCTAGCCTAGATCTCAGATTATTCCAAAGCGGTGGCACGAAGATTACGATGTTGCTTCGAGCGTCGGCATCAGAGGAGAAGCGAAAGTAAAAGCGCAAGACGAGTGAGGGAGGCGGTCGAAAGCCAGCGTGGAAAACGGGGCGTCATCAACGCGCGACGCAAAGCGATGGCCTACCCTGGAACAAGAAGCTCTCCTGTCCAGGAATTACATGGCGAGAAGCTTCGCTTCGAGGAGACATGAGTTTAGCGACTCGCATCCATATGGACTCGGCGACGAAGCGGATCCGCCGGATTACCCTCTTCCAGCTCTCGACGGAGGCTCGACATCGCGGAAGTTTGTTCATCGCGCGCGACAAAGACTTAGTAAATTATTTATTGCCGATATATAACATTTTATTCGCGACGGACGGCTGCTGCGCGACGGCCGGACGGGACGAGTGCGGTTTCACGCGATGGTGGTTGTGGAGAAGAAAAGAAGAAGAAAAGAAACGGACGGACGGGACACGAGTTATTGTATGATCGTTTGTTGCGTGAGTGCGAGACCAGGCGTGCGTACGAGTAAATGCAAGCGCGCGTGTGCGGAACGAGTAGAAAGAAAAACGCGCAAGAGGCGCGGCTAATTGCAGGGTCGAGAAAAAAAAAAAGAGAGAAAGAAAGAGAAAGAGCGGATCCGTGCGCGCGCGTGTTTGTGTATGCGTGTAAGGAGCTATAGGGGGATAATGTAGTGCCAAGAGTGAAAACGGAAACTCTGTACATATTAGGCTAGGTAGTTCAATATCAATATACTTATTACGACTAAAAAAATGATATGCTACATACCGATTTAAAAGTAAAACATCAAACATACGTTACAACACGCATACCATTAAAAACACGAGATGGCCGGCCGTACGAAACCGTAACGGGACGCGCACACGTCTCAGACTATATATTTTTCTGGCATATATATTCTTTAAGTCGTCGAATATATTCTACCTCGAATGCTATATATTTTGCAATCGACAATATTGAGATTCCGATTGACGTTAATAAAGGAATTCATTAATTTATTTTTGATTTTGATGATGGTCTGTTTATATTGTTGTATTCGCGTCAAATCGATATATCTACGTGTAGTTTAGAGAAAAAAAAATAAGAAAAATTGTAGTCTATTATCGTATATCTATTTGACGCGAATGCAACAAATAAAAGCGCAAGTTCTTATCATGAAACAAGATTTACAAAATTCGTCACAACTGCAATATAAGAAAGGATTAAAAATTGATTTTTCCGACATTAACGTTGAATTAAATCATTCTTTTTCTTTCATTCTAGTTTAAAATCATAATTGTAATATGAGAAGATGAAGCATCAACGATTCCATGGCAGATATTATCTAGTTAACTAATTTATGCTTTTATATATAGCAGGATTTTTTTCTATCTCTTTCTAGGTTATCGATATAAGATAATCGATAAATGTAAGAGAGGAAGAGAGAGAATAAATGAATAATCAATCATAGTGTGTGTATATTCAAGTATCGAGGAAGAATTAAACGATCGTTTTTTGTTCGATAAACATTATTTTGCAGATAGACAAATTATTTACATTCAACGCGTATGGCGTGTGTAAAAATAAATAATAATAAATCGATCAGAATGTGCGTCCCCTTTGCGTTCCGAACGGCTTGGACTGTGTCCGACATAACACTATCTTTATTATTATTCAAATAGATAAGGCCTCAGTTTTGACAAAATAGGACGAGTTCTGTTCGGATGAGGATTCGAGCTCGATGATGCGTTTTATATCTCGCTTTGCAGTCTAATAAATAAAACCGCACTTAGATTTCAGTATAATTTACTCTAGCAAAAGTCAATATGATAGATTTCCATTTTTATAGATTTATAGATTTATCAATGGCTTATATCTATAATGAACTATCGCAAATTAATACAATCTGATTCAGGATTATCTTTAAGACATCATCGATATCTCATATTGTCTAGAAATGTATTTAATTTTCGAAATCGAAATACACATGGACAATTCATTCATGCGGAAAAGACGAAAAAGCGAAAACGCCTCGTTAATTTCGAATCTTAGTTTCGAAACAGAGCGAATCATTCGATTATTTCACATGAGAAGTCATCAATTATTATTATATTTCTTAAGAGTCCACGACGCAGGGAGAAATTGCAATGAAATTATACATTTCCCTTTGTGATTACGGATCGTGCGTGGCATACGAGGAATGCGCGAGATAGAAGTAAAAGATGCCACGCGCGTAGAGCCGGATATCAACTCTCGTGTGCACTTCGTTGGCGTGAATAATTTCGCGAGCTTCCGCTTCGTTTCCGAGGGAATGCCGAACTGGGTTGGCGCCCTTAAATCTCGGGATTTCGGATTCTAGTTAAACGCACAAAATTCTCATCACCCGTGAATATTGACACACACTGTTCGGCGCCCAAACCGATGCGTGTAACGTCTCGAGACGGCGAGATCCTCTAATTATCGTTATATAAATTCTCTTCCTAAGCGAGAAGAAAAATTAAAATTGTAAATTGTAATCTTCGAGAGAATGTCCGGGCAAATGTGTGCGCACGGCGACGTTGTTTCGTTTCATGTTCATTGGTCGCTGTGTCGCGCGAGTCGAGGGAGGAAATATATCGTCTTTCTGTTTCACCTTTAAAATGTGTTCACACGCGCATGCAATATTAGACGACGAGATTTAATCGTATTTTATTCGTAAAGAAATTAGAGCGCGTGCGGAGCGAAGCGATCGAGAAGGAATATCGGAAAGAATGTCTGATATCTCTTTTTTTTTTGTTTTTTTTTTTTTTTTTTGACTTTACCTTTTCCTTTTTTGTGCTTCCTGGATGGCGAGAAAGAGAGGGAGACGGAGAGGGAGAAAGAGAGAGGGAGACGGTAACTACAGTACGGAAGACCAAGATACCTTCCATCCATATTTATTATGTTTATGTGTTCACAATGTGAACGTTAAGACAAACGCGGAAGCGCGATTAACAGAGAGAGATTCCGGTTATAAACGACTGTATCTATAAAAAAGAAGTTGCGACAAGACGCAACTCCTCTCGAGTACGAGGCATGAGAAAAACTTGGCGGGAGATATTCGGCAACGCTTCGAGGCAGAGACAGCACGGTTACATATCATTTTAATCAAATAAATAATTGTACCACATATCCGGTATTCTTCTTTTTCTTTCTCTTTTGGAAATTCGTTGTTATCAGAATGCGGTTTTACCCGGACCAATAATTTACAATTACGGTATGTGAACACGAGTGCTTTTAATGGTTTTTTTTTTTTTTTTTTTTTTTTTTTTTTTTTTTTCGAATTCACCTCCATATCGCTTTCTCTCTTTTCGCTTCCTCTTCTCGTTCACTACAATCTCGTTCTCTCGTACACCCGCATTCGTTTCTTCAATACGTAATAGGAAAGATGAATGTATTTGTATATGTGCGTTTGAGGGATAGAGAGATTACAGATGAGCGCGAGAGACGAAACGGAATGAGAGGAGGACACAATGGGAGCGGAATTCAATAAAAATGTTGTATAATTCGATGGGTCCTGTGCAAGTTTTGGTTAAATTTGCGACGTCGTCGATTATAGATTGAATTTAAAAAACGACGACGCGAGCGCGAGATATTTTAGACGATAAGTTCTAGGCGAAATAAAATTTTTAGCGAGCTATTATCGATTACTATTATCGCTATCGGACATCGTGATATATCTAGCAATTTGTTAATTGGGATTTTGAGAGGTGCGAGACGTTTGAGTATAATCGTGGCCTTTCGACACGAAAGAGAGAGAGAGAGAGAGAGAGAGAGAGAAAGACAAAGAAAGAGAGAAAAAGAGAGAGCGACAAAAGCGGTCCGAGATGAAATATTCTTTTGTGTCTCTGCCCGAATCCACAGCTCAACCATCGAGATTGCTATATTAAACGATTTGAAAGCAAAAATTGTATTTTACGTCGAGTTTAATTGTTTAACAAAGTTGCTAAAGTTACTAAAGTTTACTAGAATATCAATCAAATCTCTTTTACAACGCTCGAACAAAGAGAAATATAGTTCTTTAATTAGTACGGTTTAAATCAGACGTCATTTGTTATCGTTATCGAGTCGAGCAAATTTCATAAATAACTCTTATCAAATACATGCATCTTCAGCGTCGCGCGAATAAAATTCCATTCTTAGCAATCTCATTGCAACGCGAAACGCTGGCTTGATCATGACATATCGTCGCGATGAGCGACGTCAGCAGACTCTACGACGAATTGTAATCGCTTCAAAGTTCATAAAACACAAACAAGAAAATGATAAAATATCAGAAACGCATGAAAATGGAGACAATTATCGGCCAATTAAATCGATCATGAGAATAAAATCAAAGATATTTCTGTAAAATTGATTTAATTTTTATTTTGTTTAAATTAAATGTATAAAAGAATAGAATATATGTAATTAATGTACAAATACGTTTTGATTAATAATTGTGGTTCAATAATTCTCTTATTTTTTTTCTTAATTTTAAGAATCAACCGTTTTTATTTGCCAAGAGATTTTACTTCGCGCGTTTCCATCTTGATTTCCCGTCGTTGCAAGGAAATTATCAAAGTGATAAACGATGTGCTATGATCGATCGAGCGATGCACAGTTCTCGTGAGGTCAAGATCGAGAGATGCGTGATCAAGCCGGCAATTACCGATTAATCTAGTCACGTTGAGCCGTGCGTCCGGTCGGGGAACGATCGCGTCCGCTGATCCACACCGTTTCGGATAACGTAGCCTTTATCGGCGAGCTTAACGGCGGAAAAGGGATAAAGGCTCTCTCTCTCTTAGGCGTAATGTGATTTCCCAAGGTGTTCCAAAATAACTCGCGTCCTCCCTCCGGCGAAATTGCGACGCGGAGCGGAGCGGTTGCAAGCGGGAGGGGGTCCGAAAGAGGCCCCCCTCTTTTAAAGCTTTTGTTTCTAAGCTGTATAATTATAATTGTACTGTTGATAAGATCGGTATGTCTAGTCCCTCGCGGTGGAAGGGAGGTCGAGAGCTTCGTCATTGTCCCTCTCGCGAAATCCATCCCCCTAAGTCTTTCGACCAATTGATCCTAATTTTTTTCCCTTACCTCTTCCTCCCCTTAAATCATCCGTGGTGTTGAATCCGTTCGATTGATACGATTCGCGATTTTGCGTCCATCAATCGGTCTGCGAATCTACGCAAAAAGCGTGTTCAGTCGTTATCCTATCTCGACGTTTTTTGATATTTTAATAACACCGAAGAAACCTTGTGCTTTTGCGATGTATAAGGAGTCTCTGAATTGATCTGATTGACGGATGCAAAATTCGGAAATCGTATCCAACAAACGAAAACAACATCAGGGACGATGTCTCGTCATTGTTCGTAGGTGCGTTGCGTCCTGCAATCAACCCTCCTGCAGTTGCGTGCTGATAAAGGGAGCCCGCAACAAGCGATTCTTTTTTTATATAGTTCAATTGTTCTATACTCGCAAAAAAATGTAAGGAATCGATGAATCGCACGTCACGAGCTCCCCTTATGAGCGCAAAAGTGTTATGCGAGAGAGAAAGATCGCGTTGCGGAGAAGTGTGGACGAAGGCAGAAATAAAAGACAGAACTTGTCGCCAAGTTCGGCAAGTTCAAACAACAAACTGTGGCAATGCGCGAGTGCGGGCGAGAGTGAGAGACAGCGAGAGAAATAAGAGAGAAAGAGATAGCGGAAATCAGGACTCCTTTTCTTTCAAAGTAATCGATCGATGTCGTAGGAACAGTGTCGTTTAAAGTAGTAGATCGCTTCTACCGAGAGTAACACGAAAGAAAATCAAGATACAAAGTAAAAAAAAAAAATCTCATCTCTAAGGGAATAAAAAAAGTTTGCGTGGTTCGTCGCGAAAAGCAAGGGGAGAAAGAAAGAAGAAGAGATACAGACAGAAAGAGAGGAAAAGGAAAGATTGCGCGAATTCGTGCCGCACTCGGAGAGAAGCGCGTCGCGTTTGCGAAATTACAAATTTCGAATGCGAGTCACGTTTGTTCGAGCGCGCCATGGCGGGATGAGAGAGTGAGAATGAGAGAGAGAGAGAGAGAGACATGAAAGGGAATTCTTTTTATACACTATAGAGAGTCGTACCACACTATCACATAGGGAAAAAAAAGAAAAAAAGACATATTCGTTGTTCATTGCTCTGGCTTGCTAGGAAAAAAAAAAAAAAAGAAAAGCAAACGATGTAACACACGACGGGTCGACGGGAAGGATGTTCGGATCTTAACGGAGGAGTTTGATGAAGATCGAAAGCCGTCACTTCCGAACAATCCTCCCCGCCTTGCCTCCAATATAAATCGAAAAAAAAAAAAAAAAAAAAGGTTTTAAAAAAAAAAAAAAAAAAAAAAAATGATAAAGCAGACGCATTTGCGCGCAGCGATTATTTCGTAAAAATACCCGCTCCCCTAATCCACTCGTATACTTAAAACTTAAAGCATATAAACGTTAATATATGTGTTATTATATTTATTATATTTCTTTTTCTTTATTGTTAATTTTTAAAGCATAAAAGATTGCAGTAAGTGGGTATATAAAATAACAGATAAACAAATTGAAACTCTAAGCTCACATATATTACATATTTTATGTCAAACTTGATTTTAAGTTGTCAATGTGAAACTATATATTTTATTATATGTTATTTCTGTTAAATGTTATTAATTAGTTATAACAAACAAATATTTTTAAATTATATTTATTTTTAATTATATATACCTTATCGAAGGAGACAGAAATTTTTTATGTACAAGTTGCATAATGTCAAATTCAAGCGATAAATTTTGAACTATTACTATGGTATCTCTAACAATATCTCTACCTAATTATATTAATGAATTCTGAAATTGTAAAATTTTTCAAAATGTTAAGCGTCATAGATAAATTATCATAGATCATAGATAAATTATCTTTTTAACAAATTTAATAAATAACAGCCAAAAAAAAGATTTTAAAAAATTCTGACACTTACAAGTCATAATATGTATTTCTATTTCTCATTCAATACATTCAATATAAAACGTGAAAAAGTAATATGGGTATTGATGCAAAAACGTGAAGTTCATGTAATGCAATATGAAACAACAATGTTGCTAAAACTCGACGATGATTCGATTACTTTATCTGCAATCTATTCTTTATTTGCATTGTAATTTTGAAAAAACTACTAATTGATTTCTCTCTTTAGTTAAACTAATATTCTTAGGAGAATATTGTTCCGATTATCGGAATTCAATTCTCAACTGAGCATTCATGATATTTTAAAAACAGATGTGATCATTTAACAACATTATATTCGTAAGACGATTTATCACGAGAAACTACATTCTAATAAAATGGAAAATAAATTTGATGATATAATATTTATATATAATAAAAGAAAATAATTTTCTACTTAAAGTTTAATTGGACTTTAATAAAATGCACAAATATTTAATACATATATACATTTCTATAAAAGAAATTATATACATTATTATATTATATAATAAACATCTCTAATAATTCTAAACATTATAATTTTTCGAATAATATCAGAGATTATATTTTCAAGCAATTTTATTATTTTAAATGCACTTTTAATAATATTTCTGAACATTCCAAAGAATTTAAATTTAATTATTAAGATTATTAGAATTTAAATTTAAAAATTTAAATATTAAGATTATTAGAATTTAAATTTAAAAATTTAAATATTTAAATGCTTGCTATATTATGAGATAAGTATGAAACACATAAAACCTCCATTAAGTAAAATAATTCACCAAACGACAGTGAC